TTGACAGATGTTTTAAGCGAAAGTATATATCAGAACCTGTAAATATTAGATATCTTTTAGAAATACAGGACAGAAATATTTTTAAAGCTTCTGTAAATCAGAAGAGTGCCATAGTCGACTTGATACCAAGAAAAAAATCCACAAGTTACTCTTTGAGGTCAGAATTTAGTCAGTATCCAAGAGTGAACACGGAACGTTTTAAATTGTCGTTTGCAAAAGATTAATTTTTAACTATAACCTATTCATATGATGTAAACTTTACTAATGTATTCTTAATATTTTACTTGTAACATAAGATATGTATTTTTATCTTTTGATCTAATAAAAAGACTTTTGAATTGAATTGAATTGAATATCATATTGACAATAATTTCCGGGTTTTCCCCGAGTAGCTAATTTTAATACGAAAGCGTACCACGTTTACCTCGCTGCATCGATCGAAATCTTTTCGCATTAAATCCATTTGTGATGTTCATGAACACAGAAAAATCGCTTAACTACGATGATATTAACGGCTTGTGTAAAAAAAACGGAACAACAGCGCATTTTACAAGTGACAGGAAGCTCTGACGTGTCAACTCCGCTATAATTGAAGCTAAACAAAATAGCCAAATTGTATCAAATTTCAGAGGCTGTCGAGTCTTCAAATCGCGGTTGGTAACAAGTTTTATCATGGATATGGGTACTTCAAACTTCCCTTTTTTTAACCATATTAGTCACTGAATCCAATTAGGTGCCACTTTTGAGAAATTTAAAGTCGAATTTGATATGTGTACAAAGCCGTATTTAGACCCGGTGCTTGTTATCGCTAAAGTTTGCCATAATCATTCTGTAAAAGCGTCATAAGACAAGGCAAGTTTCAAAGTAGAATAATTTTCACGTTGGTGGGTGAAAAAATCATAAAATTTGGTTGAATACTTTTAAAATTATATGTATTTGAATTCGGCTAATTTTTATGCCTGATATAGGCAGAGGATTTTCTGCCCGACGGCGCGGGACCGAAAACTCGCTGAAATTTTAAAAATTAATAAAAATTCCAAATTCCAAATAGTGTTTGTTTGTTCTTGGAGTAAATACATTTCATTGTGAAAGTAACGAAGAATTTCATTTTTTGAGCCGAGAGTCATTGGTCGGTACTTAGAGGGACAGCCTCTTAAATTGCCTGTTGCAACAATCTAAGTGCCGAAGGCCTGGGTACGAGGTTGTATAGGCCAGTGACATGGACTCGTTCCCATTATTTGTGTGTGAATAAAAAATATTCAAAATTGCCCGGCCAAGGGCTGCTTTGAAAGATCAAATGTCCATACCCAGGGCCGCCGAGAGGGGGTCAGGGGGAGGGGGGCAAATTGCCCCGGGCTCCCACCTTAATAGGGCCCCAACTTGAGAGCAAGAGCCTAAAATTGAGTAGGTTCTTTAAATTGGTCAGAGCATTTTTGAAATTGAGGGCCCCTTACAGTACCGCCACATGCAGTCTAGCTAAGGTCTAGTTGGGTCTAGCTTAAAAATAATGTCATGGGGCCCCCAGGGAAGATTTGCCCCAGGTCCCACGTATTCTCTCGACGGTCCTGTCTGTGTGCCCCGGGGTGATCTTGCGACATCAAAATCTTCCCCTATGGGCAAGCGAGGTTGTTCAAATCTCTACCCCTTGCCCCCCAGGGCTTAACATTGATAGATGCATTAGTTGGTTAGAGTGCTACACTGGAATTGCAGGGCCACAGGTTCGATTCCTGGAAGAGGACCTAGTGTTCGCAACCATTCCTGGTTAGGTCTTGAATTGTGTATGCATATGCCCACACTTGGATTATGCCAAAAGGGTTAAATTGACAAGTTTTTGCATTTATGATTTGCATGTGAAATGATCTGCCATGTAGCCTAGGTTGGCATATTTTCATATAAGGATGCATTTTACAATATATTTGAATTTTGTAGCTGAAGTAGCTTATTTCATATTTTGTATGGTTCAAAAATTGTGAAATAAATATTCTGTTCATTGTCCATTTGTGTCTATTTTGGTAGCAATGCATGTAATGCAAATGCATGTAATGCTGTTGGAGTTGCTGGATTGTTCCCCAAAGTTTGTCAACAAGTAGATATTTTGCAGGTTTGTCTTGTGAGCCTTAAATTAACTCATTGAGCCGCAATGCGCCCCAGTGCGCACTACTTTTGTTTTACTTGGCTAACGCCTGACGATTTTACTTGCCAATGGAGAAGCTCTGCAGCTTAATGGGTTGATGAAAACATAAAGGTATATATTTTATTGGATTGCACATATCACATGAATGAAGTTGAATGGGTAAACCTTTATTTCATAAACATTCATCAACCTTCATATTTAAACTGCTTTATTTCTGTTGATATTGTGATTGGAAAATGTTTGGGATTTGTTGTCTTACTTTGTTTTGATGCAATGATGCGTCTGCTGAAGTGATGGATAGATCTTGAAAATATTTATAGCAGGTAATTTAGCTGGAATACTTCATGAGAGGCTGAGAGCAATTTTATGCTTGCCATATTAAATGTTTATTTATAATTTAATTATGCAAATCATAGTGAGCGTTGAAATCAAGTCTTTTTTTACAAATAAAAAGATGGCTAATGTTTCAAGTGTGAGCAGTCAGCTACTGAGCACTGTAGAAAATGGCGAGCTGGAACTTTTTAAAAACAATGGAAAATAATACGTGTATTAAGGACAAAAATCTCAAGTTTTTAGCAAAAGAATAGATAATACAAAGATAAACTATATTTTCCCATATAAGATAAACTATATTTTCCCACTAAATTCGGAAAAAAGTGGCATTAAAACATTTATAAAATGAGCAATTGCTTCGAATGAGAGCCGATGAGAGAGAAGTAAAATGAGCAATTGCTTCGAATTACAAAAGAATAAACTCATCTGGAATGGCGACTTAAGCGAATTAAAGTCTTACGTCGCAGAAACGTTAAATATAAACGGTAAATGGAAGTCACCATCTGGGGGACGCTGGTTATTTACTAGCGATGCTTTGTCTATAACCTGGTATTGTAAAAGCAAGACTGTCTTATTTCAAGGTCCTCGTGGCAGCGAGGTGGCTGACTCTTTGAAGAGAAATATCGATGCATCGCGAACCGTAATAGTGAAAAATGCCGAGCTAAACATTGCTACCCCTGCTGCTTCCGAAAGACGGAATGAGTCTATCGATAACCAGTATCGTCTCAGTTTTAACAATTCTAACTCGAGCATGTTTGATAGATCTAGCAATACCACAACAACTATCAACCGAAGCGACTCGGATACTAGCGAAGGAAAAGCAAATGGGCAAGAAGTGTGTTCAGACAAGCAGAACGAAGGCGATTATATAATGAATTGCAAAGACTGTAGTAA